CATCCATCGTATAGAATGAAGATCATACTTCTGTAAGTCTATCTGCGTGTGATGGATTCATGATTTACGTCGAGGTCAATGGCTGTACTGTACAGCCCAAATCGCCCCGAGAGCTCGGATACTGCTCGTCTTCCATCGTCGTCGTCCGCCATGTATGAGCAGATCAGAGCAGAGCAGTAGTGGGGCATGAGCAGGAGGCATTCATTCTACACACATGTGAGATATGACAGGACGAGAAGGAACAGGAGTCTGTAAGCTGAGAGAACATTTCGTACATTGTGATAGTCTGCGAGGGGGAGGCTGGGGGTGGGGGTCTGCCTGTCTGAACCCATGTACGTACTGTGAGATACCGAGTAATATAGCAAAATCGATGGCGAGACCAACCCAACCCAACCCCACATCGAGTCGTACAGGGATGACTCCGAAGGGGAAAGATGACAGACAGCCTCATGAGATTTCGGAGGATTTTCTGGTTCTCGTGTGCATGTCGATATTCGTCCACTGGCCTTGGCCTGGACCTGGACCTGGCCGGGTTGGTTGGTGAACAGATTCTTCCCATGAATGAATGCCTTTCTCGCTGATTTCCATTGAATCTCACTCAGAGCAACAGACCCAACCCTGTAGCGAGCTGATACTCTGTAGCTAGCGCCGAATAGAATAGACTCGGGCTCGCTCGCTCGCTCGATCGATCTGCTGTGGTGGTAGAGGGTGAGGGTGTACAACTGAAAGTCTGTCTTCCAGTGTGCCTGCCCGCCTGCTGTGTATAGAGCCAGCATCCACGCTCGACTCCAACTCCTCCTCCTCATTCCATAAGTGCAGTACTTGTCCTCCTCGTGAAGATACATGATCAGAGCGTATCCGAGAGAATGATCAGAACAAAACCCCCTCCGGATGATGGCGATGATGACACCAACCCCCTCGACTAACTACCAGCTTACTACTAGCCTTACCAAAGTGCCCACTGACTAGCAGCATAAGATATATATCCATCGGCTGGCTGTGCTGTGCTGTGCCTTTCCCGATTCCGTCAGACAGACTACTGCATGACATTGTATAGCAGCAGTTGGGGCTCCTTCACTGGGCGTGGAAGAAAGCTCTGATCCCCTGCAGGCAGTGCACTACTAGTCCGACTAGTGAACACTCGTCGGACTTTGGACACGCAAAGTAGCCTCCACATTCCATGAAATGACTTCAGCACAGCACGGATCGATCTGATTGATTGATTGATTGATTGATTGATATACTACGCTCGACGTTCTTCATACTCTAGTCATAGATAGAGCGAGAGGAGAGGACGACAGACATGGTTGTCGGAGAGAACCGTGGCTGGAACGGTGAGAGTACAATACCAACTCCTTAAGAGGAGGCGCAGTGTACTGCTGCTGCTGCTTCGAGCGAGTCAGTCAGGCATAAATTGATATCTTCTCTGCTCCAAATTCGCAGCCAAACGCCTGGAGCCAAATGTGTGTCCCTAGCACTAGAAACAAGGCCGACACTGCAATGATGCATCAGACCAAAATTCAGTTCCGAGGGAGGGAGGGAGGGAGGGAGGGATCGAATCCCTCATAGTCCTGCACAGAGGATCACATACGGCTGCAAAGTCAGCAGCCTTTGCGAGTCTAGAGACCACCAAGGTCACTTCATTATTCTGATTCGGGGATAGATTTAAGCTCAAATCAAGTACAGTGCTCTGGTCAGTGACGAGAAAGAAGGATGGTTCCGATGCCTCGGACCTTCTCCTGCACAGTCGGTTTCTTACGGACCAACGACACCTGCTGCACTGTGGACACCGTCCCAATAGACCATCGAGGGACTTCCAGAGGCCCCATTCTCAGGCTCTTGGATTCCTTCCTCCTCTGTCGATTCGGTGATCACAGTCCTGCGACGGCAAATTGGAAGCTCTGTGGATCAACTATCACTTTCCCGTTCTGTTCATGGTTTGCCAACGAATCGGACTCCTCAGCCAAGCAAATGATAAACATATGCATTCGATGTGTTCCATGGTAGCTCACCATGAAAAATAAATTCATTTCGAAGCGAAGATGGTGTCGATTGATTTCCCCCATGCTACGTGTACGAGAAGCACTGGTCGAGCTTTTTTTCACCCTCCTCCTCTTGGCATCCTCGTTCTTTTAGTTTTGTAAAGGCATCTCTCGAGATTCTACGTGCACACAAGTGTGACTTTATTTAATGTTTGCTTTCATGTACCGCTTCTAAGTGTGTGACTCTATATTATATTTTAGCTCTAGGGAGTATATTTTCCTCTCCTTTATTTTTATCCTTCAGGTACAGTATGAAGTATGGTGGTACTAAATAAAGGTGGCTGGTAGGACAGGATTGAGTGCTGGTAATCGTGATAAGAGCATAGTATGATTATGTCTGTCATAGCACATATTGCTAATTTTCATCCTTGCTTTCCGGCAATATTTTCCATGGGGAGATTCAGAGGAAACAATTTCTTCAACTGATTATGTCAAAATGTCTCTTGAATGAGTTTTGGCAGTATGTGAGAGATTTGGCGTGAAACTTCACACTTTTGAAGTTGTCAGACTCTTCCCCAAAATTAGTCTTAACTAATACTGTGGAAGAAGTGTGAATATTATTTTTGAAACTACTACAGTAAAATACTCAACTCGGCGCAAAAAGGACAATGAGAAAATAGATGTATACAACGCCCAAGATAACTGCATTGCTGAACTCAAGCAGAACGTTTTGACGAACAGGACAAAAGATCGCAATTCTGCGATGTTACTCAAAGTTTATCCAGCGGCCAACATCGATCTATTAGTTGTTATTACATAAAAAAAATTAAAAAAAAATTTGGCATAGTGTACTGTGAATAATCAGAAGACTTTGAACTTATCTATGTTATTCTATGCAGCTACCTTGTAAATCAAATCGCTATATCCTGCATACATAAAATATCTCTGCGTTTACAGTTTACATGTTTAACGTTGAAAAACTAGATCCTGTCAACATTCAAGAAATTACATTGGGAAAGTCATCTGAATATCCCAATTATTAATTAACCAGTGATAGCTCCGTCTCCGATACCATCAAACACCACAACCTAAGAAATGAAGAGATAGTTTTGTATGAATACCTTTATCCTTTGATGTACACACCAAAAGCCATAATTACAGTCCTTTCACATCAACACACAACACAACAATAAGTTTTGTATCTACTATTAAATCAACCACAAGTTTAAGTTCTGGATGAAATAGTGAAGCTCAATTTCATGTATTTGCATTATTAGGGGTTTCACGCATATCATCGATGTCAAATAAATGAAGTAAAGACGCATTCAAAGAAAAAACTTTCTCAAACATAACATCCAAATACCGTCTGCGTAATCAGTCGTGAAAAATTTACCACTTTCTTCAATCGATCATCATCCTGTCCCAGTTCACATTTGACATAATCCTTACATTGGGTAATGTGAGCATCACTAATTGCTACCATCATGCATTCACAATGCTCACTAGTCCAAGTCTACCATTTATACATGTACTTGCCCCAACAACCGCTGCTTCACTCTAATAAGAGACACAAAACTACTGAGAATATCGGGTATCACTAAAGGGATCAACGTGGACGGTTTGACTAGTACTCAAATGCAACCTCATTATCATTTGCACCCATCAACACAAGCGAAATAAAATTACAATGCATCAACACAAACACCTTGGTGCATAAATACAAGCCAATATGAAGACATGTGAGTAAAAAGTAGCACAATCCACATCTAAAGAACATCAAAGTTCGTTTTATGTAATATTTGAATAAATAGTACAGATGAGATGACACAGAAATTTTCATTATACTCCTATCCAAGCTAACATTGCTGCTTTGTTCTCTTTTAATATTTCTTGAGACTTGATCGTTTGTACATTCAGATTGTCCAAATGAACGATCCATCCCAACCGCCGAAAACTCGTCTTTCCCAGCGCAGCAGATTTTCTTGCTTAGCTCCTCGCTTATCAGTATTACTATCGCTTATCAGCCTTTTCTAGTCAGATTGTGGACGCCTGAAATACATCGAAGACTTTTCTCTGCAGAACGATTCCTTAACTTAGGAGGTGACCTGGTTTGTAACAGTGGGCATTCGCTTAATATTCATAAGTGTTCGAAACCTTTCCTTCTTTGGTCTGAACCTCTGTTCTGCGCTTTCTCCTTTCATATTTTCGCTCGATTGGACTTATTCTGCTTCCGATCATTCACCCCTCATTTTGCTCTTTGAAACTTCCAATTCGGTTCTTCTCATCTCCCTTCTTGATATTTGTAAATTTATCACTTACCTTTGAAGCTATCCTGACTTCAAGACGCAGGGTGCGTGTAGTTTAGACTCGGTCTAAGAAAATACGAACCCACGTTCATTACCTTGCGTATCACACTTGATACAAGAACGGTCAGAAACGGGGGTTCTAAAGTCTCATGAATTTCATCCTGCTTTGCGTTTTGCTTGTGAAAGTGATTTTTCAGTCACTTCACGTCCAAAACCAACATCCATGCTCCAGAAAATGCCAAAAGGACAAACTTACTGGCCGCCAGCAAACTGACAGATAACTGTCACTACAACCTTGCCCAACTTAAACGCACCGTGGCACCTCAACCCTTACATCAGCCATGGCAAAGAATCGGTAGAGGCTTGAACCATGACAATTCTAACCCAAAAGCCTGCAGCCGTGTAGAAGGGAAAGGCCCGTCCATATGATCGCATGTCTATGCAAAAATTTTCAAAACTTTTAACATTTTCAATTTTATATGTCCATATCAACATTTTCACAAAACTTAGTTTGGCTCCAAGCTCACTGCCGTGGCCGTCTATTGGCCAGATCCATGCAGACGTTGATTTGACACCTGTACAGTTCTGTCTACACTTCAATATTATCAACCTAAGCCTTGCAGCCAGCTTGACAGAAACACTCACTCTCACAACATTCACATCTGTCGGTCGATAAAGATCATTCAAGATCCATCTATGAGAGAAAACATGTAGACAGCTTAAGAATATCGATGGATAAAAAAGGGATGTTGCTGTCAGAGCCCCGCATCCGTGACAACAACCACGCCAAAGGTAATGCCTTTGGCACTTCGCATCAACCTCGGCACTCTGATGACTCTAACAATCATTCACCTCAGTTCACAACAAAGACGAGTCATCTTTTAAGAGATCAGCATACGTTAATCACAGATGCCAGCTGATGGCCATAATATCCCAAAAAGGCTGGGAGTCAACCCCATCCTGCACACTAAATGCTCCGTGGCGCCTAAGTTAGAAGGGAAGAAAACAGGGGTTTAGACTTTTCCTTAAAGAGACGACGCTTTCGATCTAAGAAGACGTCAGTAACCCAAATTTCAAACCTGTCCATGGAAGATCTGTCAAGGCTGTTGTTGGGGGGTATAGACGGTGTATCCGTTGCGCCCTAAGGAAAATCCAGGGCAGTCTGGGACGTTCAAATGGTGATGGCCTTGAACAAGGGAGTAACCTACATGTTGGTCTAGACCACTGCGACCATTGCTACTATTGTTACCGGTGGGCATGGAGCTACTCCCAATAGGCCAAAAGTGAGATACTCCATCAAGGACCCCACCATGTTGGCTATGTAGTCTCCCCAATGATGAATGTTGGAAAGGACCACCCATTCGTGCATTGTCTCGAAGTCCGTTGCTACTTTGCCGGTCATCGTTACTATCACCACCTCTACTTCTATCGCCTCCGTCCATCCCAACTCCATTTGATCTATCTGAGGTAAGCTGCCCGTAGTTGAGTTTGTGCAATGAATTGTGCCCAGAAAGTGAAAGAGGCCGATTGAAGCTTGAGCTACCTGGATGCTGTAAGATCTTCAGCGCCATACCAAAATTTGGGTCCTCGTCCAGTAGGTCGTTGATGATATCCAGATGTGGGAATTCCTCTGACAATACTGAACCATTGTGGAGGCTCTCCACAGCAAGATCCAAAGACGACGTTTGTCGTAACGAGGCCATACTTACACGTCCATTCACATCAGGGCATGAAGCTTGTAAATGCTGGTGATGAAGTCGATGTTGAGCAGTAGAATGTCCCGAAAGGCTTACTTGTGAACTTTGCTGCTGCTGTTCCTGCTGGAAACGCTGATAGTGTTCACGCTCTTCTTGCTGGGAATGCTCAGTTGCAGCTGTCAGATCTAATTGATCATCGGGCAATAATTCGGGTGTCACGGTACCGAAAGTGATGCCCATCGACGTGTGACCGCTTGAGCTCCCGCCACCAACGGAGTTCTCACGTGAAATCTGATTGATAGAACCTGTTTCTGACCCGGAGGAATGGGGTAAGGGAGAAACTGGAGGAATGAACAAACCACCATCTCGTTTGGAACCATTCGAAACCAACGTTGCATGTTGATTAGGTAAGGCCCGCATTTTCGGTGAGGGTGTCAGTGGAGGAGAAGACGAAAGAGCAGCACTGCTGGTCGGAGCTGCCACTATATTCGCAAAAATCTGGCAAGGAATATTGCTGACACTGGAGGTAGCTGGGACACCTGATCCAAACGTCGAAGCTGAACTAGTTGAGTTTTGGACGGTAGTACTTGGATGAGTCGGACTCCCTGCAATTGGAACACTGCGAGTTTTTCCAATAGTGGCGTTTTTATACGAAGGTGTCACAGGGGTCGCTTGCGTTGCCCCGCCGTTCATAGTAGGAACTGAGGAAGGCTCTCCACCCGCAACCAGCCGTCCAGTTCCAGCACTCATAGATCGTGCTAAGGGCTGAGCAGGGTGTGGAGAAGAAGCCACAGGTATGCTGGGCCGAGTTCCTGACCCGAGTCCAGGAGCACTTGACGGTCTGGAAATCGACGCACCCATCGCTGCCCCCGTTGATGGAATAGAGTGCGGTAAGCTACTCTCCTCGATCACCCCACTTGGCCGAACTACCGACATAGAAAACCCTGTGATTGAAGGTGTAAGAATCCTCGGTGGTCGAGATGAATCAACACTTCTGCTTCTAGAAGGAGCGTTAGAGCTTTTCGGAGGTTCCGGCTTGAGAGAAGCAGATGCATAACTACTGTTAACATTCTCACTTCTCCCAACAGATGATTGATACGAGCTGCTAAAAGCAGCCACTCCATTTGATGCACCCAAATGACCATTCACCCTACCGAGTCCCAACATGGCGATGCCCTTATCCAGATCTAAACAGTCTCCTGCATCTGACTGAGGGAAGGAAGTGGACGTCTCACCCCTTGACTCATCAACAGACCTAACTCCTCGCAGGAGATCATTCGCCTCGGCAACAACTGCAGATGGTCGATCAAGCCCCATTTGGTGTTGGAATAGACTCAGCTGCTCCTGCAGCAGGACGACTTCCTCCTCCTGCAATCAAATAAACCAATGTTTTAAATAACTAGATTAGGTAATGAAAGTCCTCTAGACTTAGAACTCACAAGTGCACCGACATCAGATGGGCGCCACGGCCCACTATCTAGTTCCACTGCTTAAGAATATTTTAAGTGAAGGCACATACTACACGGACCGGCACAAGGTTCGACCAATGCCCTGGAGGGCAAAGGCCTTCCACCCACATGGGAGGGAATTCCTCTGGTGCTGGAATGCAGTGTAGAGCCTACAGTGCTTCAATATTGAAGTAGACAGATACCAACATGTACTCTGATCCACACTGTGGATCAGAATACATCTTAAGAGGCCATGATGCTAAAAAACTTCTTGTCAGACCAAACACAGACATTGACACGAGACAGCAGAGTTTACAATTTTATCTGCAGAGAAGAGTACAAGACTAGAAGTCTATCCACGCAGAAGTCGGCAGTTACAGATAGAACGTATTTCTTCAGAATGAAGATACAGAGAGACTGAAGATCTACTAGGGAATGAGACACTACTTGAGTAATAGGAAAAACCAGTCGAACTGGAATTGTGTCAGTAAGCACAAGTTGTGGAGGAATTCTACTCGGGTAAGACATTCAAGTCCACTTAGCCGGTAACCAAGATCATTAATCTTGTAACAAAGGGTAATGAAACAAAGAAGAAAACGTCTTGAAGAAACCACAACTTTGGCATTTTTAACATGTAAGACAAATAGCTGATTTCCTGACACGGGTTATTAAAACTCATTACAATCTTCTGCTGAACAAACAAGCTATGACAAATGTTCCGCTCAGGTGATCTAACGCCAACTCCAAACATGAATAACCCAGCCACGTCCCATTCGACCCCAAATGAAATGTCTACGACGATGTAAAGAACTTTATGAGTACCTTTTCGAAAAGACGTTGCTCCAACCACAGAACACGGTCTTTCAACGAAAGGATGACAGTTTCCGTATCTACACCAACTGAACTACTACTACTGCTGGGTTCACCAGGGCCGTTGGTGTCCGGACCCGCAGCACGCAGCATTCCATCAGCTTCGATATATTGCCCGTCGTTGTCGTAATTGTCACTGTCGATTCTGTTCCCTACCCTGCACAATATATAAATAACCTCAGATTGGATTGTTGAAGTAAAAACGGGGTCTTAAATGGAGAATGATGAACTCAGAACAAAATGATATCACTTGATTCGTAATCAGGTGCTATTTACACTCTAAAATGCAAACATCTTGATATATAATCCAAACAACCTTTTCTGTCCCAATCTCAATTTCTACAACGTGATAACTCCACCAACTTTAATACCTCCTAGGAAGGACACTTTGCTCTGGTAGTATTGGCCGCGAGACAAAAGACTCGTTCATGCTCGCTCGCACAGATGGTAATGAGTCAGATGAGCAAGTGGATGAACTATCATCCAATGTCATTTGTTGCTTTCTACTCCCCCGGCGATTCCTTGTGGCTTCCTCGAGCATTGCTCCACTAAATCCAGCTTCCATACCATTTGGAACGTATGAACCTTCCCTCTCCCAACTTGCGTGATCAGTGTCACCATCTTCGGTAGCTGGTCCGAGAGTACCGACAACGTCATCTGTTGGATCTAATCCAGGATGGTTATCTTCATCCTCTACAGCCTCAGTGGAGACAAGGGGTGACAGCACACGCTCTTGATGAAGCCGATCCTTAGATATCCGGCTTGATATATCTCGGCGCTGGCGCTGCTCTTGTTCTAGTCGGACTTTCTTTTCCTCGGCCTCCTTATCTTTTTCCTTACGGTCCTTGCGTCTTTGTTTCGCCTGAACCAAAGAAAAGTGATTTACACAAGGGTAAGCAAACAACAATCAACAAAAGCTCCCGCCCATTTAAAGCCCGATCCAACAGTAAAGATAAGTTCTGAATATGCGTTTAGGATAAGAATTGTATAAAGATTTTCTAGAGTAACTATTAGAAGTTCCAACAGTATGGACAAAAGTAGTGTACATCCAAAATACGCAGTAAGCGCAGTTCTGTCCAGGGTAATAACCCAAAACGGCATAAACAAGCATCTAAACCGTACGTTACCCCAGACAGAACGAGACGGTTTGAAAACTCCGACATACTTCATCCTCGCACATCATGGTGTCGAAGTAAGTGGACTGTAGAGCTTATAGCCCTCGTCGTAAGCTTCGGTCTTACTCTCAGGCGAGCGGAAGATATCTAGAATCTAGAATATATCGAATATCATTCTTGGGCCAGTCATGTAACAGACAAGTAACAGAAGATTCAAGTGCTTTTTATCATTCTTTGTATAATTTCCAAAGAGACATTTAGAAAACAAATATATGCATGTTAACCACCTTCGTCAACCAGCTGTCATGTGACATCTTATATCTATAAACATCCCTCCCTCCGCATAATTCCAGATCAGAGAGGGACCCCGAACAAAGAGTGTCGTTCCGATGCTCTAAGCAGCAAAGCATTATGCGTGAGGACAAGCAGTAAAATTGTATAAATTCCATTCATTGATCACTTCTTTCACGGTGAGAAGTCCTTAACTTCCAAGGTTTGTTTGATCAATTGACCTCACCAAAGGATGCCTTTACCGCTGGTTTTCAAGTTCTCATTCATGTGCTAACTGTTCAGAGATACGTTACCCTGCTACATGGAGGTTCACATTGACATTTATTTTATATGTGCTAACGACATTTGACTCCGAGTACCAATAAGCACGCAATCCACAGTTGCTCTCACTTCTGTCAACCTAAGAGACAGGACCGAGTTGGACGTAATCTTTCGCTATCGCGAAAAGTGTCAAATATGCAAAGAAGTGTTAGTATGGTACCAAGCAAGCAGAGGGACATAGGCAGCCTATCTGGACAAGACCAACATACAGGACTGTAGCAGGCTGGTATATACACGTTACAGTCAGAGGTTGTCAGGTACGCTGGAAGCCAATGTACGGGACTACATCAGAAGTCTTAATAATGTTTTGGAAACAATTCTGCGCTGGCTTTTGATTCTGTTTAGCCTCGTCGATAAAGAGTCGACGAGGAACCTAAGATGTCAGGCCCAGAAAACTTGTGAAAAGAAGCAAAGATTTAAACTTGAGGCTCACACATAGGACAACCTAGTGTAGTCGGACGCCTTGCCTTACCTGCTTCTTCTTCGATCGCTTCTCTTTCTCAGCTGCCTCTCGCTTGGCCCGCAACTCGGTTTCAGCCTGCCCTGCTGCTTCCTCCTCCCTTATAAGCTCCTCTTGCCTTTTTAATGCAACAGCTTCCCTGTATGCCACTTCAACACGATTTCTGCGTTTTCAAGCATACACAGGATTTCAGTTATTTCTGTCCAACCCTTCGACCAACTCAGGGGTCTACTTCCTTCTGAGACGGAAGAGAGAGCATTGTAACTGATTTATTGAGCGAAGGAGAATTTCTGTTCATTATGACAAGGGACGGGGTCATACATCCCAAGAAAGTTCAAAAAAGTGGATGCTCGTCACTGTTTTGCAGGTTGTGTGTGTTAGCACACTGGCACCCAGCGGCACGCAACCCCATGGCAATATTCGATATAGGAGATGCTGGATATAATTGGCAATTCAAAATAGTGGTGCCGTTTTTGAGATAGCAATAGAGAAATTTCGGTAGGTGCAATGAAGAGCATATATATGAGATTTCATGTATGTTATTCCGGCAAGTATTCGTAGAAGCTGTATGGAGGTGTTACAAACTTCTCTTAAGCTTTATAATATAAAGCTTAGGAAAATGTTCGATTAACCACAACCATCAAGGTAAAACAATGGATTAGTGACGTACGTGTAAAGGTGGGCGAGAACAAACATCTCCACAGTGCGCCTGCCCAGTTCTGTAAGCCTCCGTTCATCACGCTCCACAGAGTCCTTTCCAAAGTCATCTCCAGAGCCAACATCCTGCAATGGACCGATCGATCTTCGTTTACCAAAGGATGAATATATGCTTCTAGCTTAGTTTGATTCAGTATCATGACACCAGACCGAACAGCGTCACCCGCTTCGGCACGATCTCGTCTACTTTTCGTTCCATGTTATGGATCCTAGATCTTTACTTCGATATCCAGTACTTTACGTCTGTTGATTTTTGCCGCCTTAATTATTGATGTCCACTTTTTATCCACAGACCTACACAGCAATATAAGTCTGGTTGTTCAAATACGGGGCAAAAATAGAAATGTGAAAGACGTAGAATTTTTCAGTAGTTCCAACTCAATATGACAACAGCGAGCCAGCTAGAGGTGCATTTGGCCCAACTTTAAAATACAACAAAAGGGATTGAGATTCATGAAGATACAATATCGAAGTAACAAAAGATTTAAAGCCTTTAGTTTTCTAATGAAGAAGTAAAACGAAGTAAAACCATTCATTAAAACACTAATGAAAACGTAAGATGGAAACTGACCAAATAAAAGATATTTATATGTATAACCACAAACAAAACTGATCCACTTTCAGACGACAAATGTACCTTTGTTCGATTCTGTGGTCCTTTATCATCCTTGTAAGGTGGTAGAGACTCGGAAACGGCTCGTTCCAGAAGAGTCAGAACATCCCCCGCGAGAACGAAAGCATCTTTTTCTACCCATACAACAGGATTTATGGTTTCCTCCATTTCGACACCATTGATCTTCCCTTTCTTGTTCCTGCTTCTATAGTCAAGTGCTTTGCAACCACTGTAGAGAGCATCCATAACAAGCGTCGACGTAACCTCCTTCTCATTGAAAAACCGTTTGACCACAGCTTTCAAAATGACGTCTGTTTTCTCCCTTGCCAATCGACGACGCGCACCTTCCTCTACAGCTGACCAGAAGGCTCGGAAACTGCACCAGGACACAACGTTAATGAGATTGTTTTCCTCGTTGTATGTTGTCTTCACAGAGACTTCTATCCATCTCCAGACTTGCGTGCTGGCTGTGGATTACATACTATTTAAAACTAAAATCCTAAGCTCAAGAAGCATCGGTGACATCTCCCGCATTAATTCCCAATTTTGTTTATATACTTCTCGAAGTCATCCTTCCAACGACCAATGTGCCTTTGTCTATTGTAGCTGTAAATAGGCGTAATCTAAAAGAACGAAAGATAATGTTTTATTCCTATAGTCAGATATCTAAAATGAAACGGACAGTGAGGTGAATTCCTCCTCAATCCGAGGTGACAGAATATCTGGAGGAAGTGGACAAATATTCCGCCACAACGTAATTTTCTTACGTAACAACTCAAAACTCAACCTAAAACTCTCCTCTTATCTCCTCAAGGAGTTATATAGGAGAGTTAACCGATCTGCTTTGAAAAACTCAAAACACAATCAAACAAATTTCATCAGAAGCCAACAGATGGCAAAATGCTGGAAGGTGTCTGACGTAACGTGGGCAGTAAGAAGTAATAGGCTTAAATAGTTCTTTTAAGTTTGTTCCAGGGTAGCTTCAGTCACACGCAGTATGTTGAGCACATTCGTGGGCTAGAACTAACTGCAACTACTGTCCATCTCAACTAATTCCTCAAATCACGGTTTCTACCAAACTTGTAGACAAATAGTACCGAATTGCCAAGGACGTTTGCAGATTCTTGTCTCACCTAGTCCACCTTGGCGTGTCCTCTATGAGTTTCCCCAATTTCTCTCTCTTTTCCTCCACAAAGCGCCTACATATTCCTTCGACATTTGTGAGGTAAACTCGCACAAGCTCCCTCCTGTATTGGCAATCTAGGCACCGGAATGGACGATGAGGATTCTCCCTGCAAAAATATCACAATCAGAGTCATTTTAGCTAGCTCGTAGAAATCAGTACCTTGTGGCAGTGAGAATAGATGACCAAGAAAAAAGGGTGCGATTATCTATTGTTTCTTCTCATGCCGTGCATGAAAAGAAATCAAGTTGTTACTTAGCCACCAGCGCAATGTGAGGTCGAAACCGAATAACATCACAAAAGAACGCATGAGTGCGCTGTAGAGACCAGCATGCGGACACGTGATGAGAAGCTAAGATAAGAGTTGATCCAATCTTAGACGCGACATAAAAGAAACAGGATGTATTGCAGTCAATCAACTAGCTACACTCAGTTCCACACAAGAGCCGAAATCGTGACCGCTATGAATCTTGAACTGCCCAATGATTGATGGAGAAGAAACACATATATAACGTTACACAGCACAGGGGAGGAGACGATCCGACAACACAATTGCGGCTTTTCGGGCAGTAATTGTCGAGCTGCTTCAGGTATTATCGAGGTGATTAAAGGGCTACTGATCTACTGCTATGATACAAACTTGTATCTTCGGTGTGAATAAACAGCGGCAAAGTTGCCTCTGCGTTATTGGGTGAATGAACTGCCTTTCACGACACCTAAAATACTCTAGGGCCGAACACATTTCGCCTTCAACAGGAGCAGAACGAAGTCTTCGGAACAGTAAGTCTAAGATACGTATTGGACATCCACGTCACTCTAGTGGGCTGAATATTATTGCTGTATGAACCACCTCAACAACAACAGCGATCGAAAACATGTCACTCATACCAAAATCAGTCAACAACAAAGACTATTCGAGGCATATCTTATACATTGAAATAAGACAGCAAGTATGAGTTTTGAGACTCCCGGTGGCTATATATCAGTTGAGGACCAGAGACGACCTTCACGCAAGCACTTCATGATAGAGAAGTTTGGGTTTAACTTTCAATCAAGCTAAAACTTCACCTCGACCGCAAACATCTGATCAAGACACATCTTGCATATCTTTAGGTGCTCCTTCCAACGTAAAATTTACATAGCCGCCCTGTGACCGACGATTCCTTCAAAGAAGTATCATCCAGCACCCACTTGATGCTTCTCAGGTAACAAACTTACATGAGACTCTTTACATTCTCTTTGAGACTAACCAATATAGATTGGAGCGATCTAGACAAGCCGCAGTATCCAGCACAAAATACGAAGTTCGACGCCGTAGCCTTGTAATCATCATCGCGGACAAACAACGCTACAAGAGCGCAGGCAAGCATACTATTTCATGCACAAGGTCAAATTACCGCGTACAAAAAAAGTCTTGTGACTCTATGCTGAATCCTTCTAACCCTCCAATAGAAGGATTGCCCACATCCAATCACAAGAACACCTGCTAATCACTGAAGCGAGTTTACTAACGTGCGGCCGAACTTACACGTTTTTCAACAAGATACAAAAGTCCACGTGGACCTCATCAGAAACCAAAGTTGAGAAAGGACGGTATCCCTCCGACGTAAAAAATTACTCAGAGTAATTCATGTACAAGGAAGACATGCATTCACGATTTTTACTCCCAAACTCGCTGTACAGATGTCACCTTGCCACAAGGAAAGATGGTAAGAGTTACTACCTCAAACCTCTTTGGCACGCATTCGATCTACAAGTGGCCCCCAATTAAAAGGGAACAAAGTGATCACGAACATTGATGACGGTGAAGAAAATGCATCTCATTGAAGTGATGAATCTTCAGAACACTTCAGAATTTGTCCACTTCCTTCAACTACAAGCGTAGTCCTCGTCAGCCTTCTGCTAGGCAGGACAGAGTGATCCTGCTAACACCTTCATTATGATATGAGGTAGGCCTGCATTAAATACGTGGTATCTAAGGAGTGGATCGATTTGATCAAGTCTCTTAGACACAAATATCCACAGAGACTCGCACAATCCGTCTACCCGTACTTTGTGCTAACCTTGGGCTTGAATGAACGCCTAATTGAGCAACTAGAGGAATGAAGATCATGATATACACACAGGGATAATTTATCTGTGTCCAAAGAAACCAGACCAAAAACCTCGCGGATGAAGGAACCTCCAAACTAAGGACTGAAGGGCCCGTGTTTCCAAACAAAAGTGCCGTGCATTGTTTCACCAAAGAGTGCAGACTCGAGCAACCTCCGCACGAGGAATATGATTCAAAGAGACATGTCCCAACAGACAGACTAAGACGTGGATGAGCTGGGAAAAGCTAAGTGAAACATGAACTAGCCTAGATGTTATGCTTTCATATAAAAGGTCCGGACAACAAACCTAATAACTTGAACTTGGGCTTTGATAACAAGAGTATCAGCGACGGTAAAACCATCCAGAACTTTGGAAAGTTCCATAAACTTCTTCCATCCCCAATCATGCTCTTTCTTGCAAAACCGGTGCAATGTATCTGCAGGAATAGATGCATGTATCAGGATTTGTGGCTAAATCAGAGGAAGCAGAGATGTAACCCTGAATAAAGAGGCCATAACTGAAAATTGTCAACATGAAAAACATATTGATGCTTTCGAGAAGCATAATGATACTGTTAGAAGGATACGAAAGATTACAGCAAGATTTATCTGAGCAATACACCTCTAACGAGATCTATGTATCAGCGCAACTCTGACCAGCTTTGAAACTTCCAGCGGAAAAAAAGATAACAAATTGTGAGAGACAGAAGTCAACACAGACGATTGAGATTTAAGGCCAGAATGAATCATTATTAAGCAAAAATATTCCCAATGTCGCCTTTCAGAAAGAATGGGTTTCTCCTTGAAAGATAAGAACCCATAACTGTTACAGAGCGTACCGTGAACCCACTTCAATCGCGAGTTCTTCGGTTAAACAAGAGAAAGTCGGGTAACAAGATTCATTTCGCAGATAGTTGAGGTATATTTGTCTTGACTTTAAGAACAAGAAACTACAGAATATGCTATTGAAACCATCACATTTAAAGCCAAATTAAAGACTCAAGCAAATGAATTTCCACTATATGGCATCTTCTCATAAACGGAGGAAACAGTGGAGCTCAGTGATTAAGAAGATGGGAAGGGAAGATTCATACAACTACTTCAACTGAAATGGGAATAAGAGGTGGGTGGTGGTGTGGCAAGAATATGTGGAGTCCAAGAAACACCAATATGTACCAAAGAAACCCATGAAATTCTGAGATGGAAAAGACAACGGTAGACATAGTATGAAATTACAGGATCAGATACGAACTTCCAGTACGATAACATTTTCATCCAAAGGTCCCAAAACACAAAATGCGTCGGCACCAACCTGAATATTTCGACTTCTTTGGATCCTTATTAACCACGGCAATAGTGAACTGGGCAAAATGACTCCATCCTTCACATGTAGCACCAGAATCAAGTGAGCAACAACATTATAGATGTGTTCCTCTCAAAGTACCCCATTAAGACGGCCAATCCTATCTGAATTGTAAGTGCATCAGACAGAAGAAACTGCATTCCGACATAAACAGGACTTGCAGCTAAAAGTTGTAAAATGCGTACAAACAAGTTTATTCTCAACCTTCACGTCTTGCAGTTATAGATTGGGATACCACAAGATCACATGACTAACACTGCCACGCAGAGGTCCGACGAACACCAATCTAACACAGATCACAACTTGTGAAACCTACCAGGGAGTAGTTTGTCATAATCTGCAACACACAAGAACAGAGATAGATGGTTGCACACATCACAGCCTTGAGGATAAACCAATATATACCTGCAAGATCAGAAACATTGCTCAATATTCAAAAATTCTTCCAGAAAACTTGATGTCATCATTGCCCTAAAAAATTGGTTACGTCATAAACAAAAATCTGAAAGAAGAGGATGAGAGGACCAGAAAAAGATCGAGAGAAAAGCAGCCCAGGTCCCAAACGCGAAACATGAATTGGTAGTGTGTTGCATTGGAAAATGTGAGAATACTATTGGAAACAGTAACACGACCAAATAACTGGACCTTGCGGGGTGGATATTATCACCTTCGCAAAGCAAGAATAAAGGTATAATTGTACGTCGCTGAAGACCAAAAAAAAACGTAATCTACCTAATTGACGACCCCTTAATTTTCAATCATTCGGCACAAACATCAATACTACAAACTTCAATATAAGGAGTGCAAAGTATCTACTCCAGATTAGAAGAAACAGTAAGCCTTGGGTCCTCCGGTTGGAAGGTAAATAAGGATGACTTCAATGAAGGGCAAAATTTTACCATTTGTAGCCACCAACTTCAAAAACATTGCTTCGAAGCTCACGCTTACTGATCTCTGAAAAGTTCTCAATTTTCCATGTGAATTTCCCGTACAGATCGGATGGCTTCGGTCCTGCTCCGACAGAAAAGTGCGCAGTGATCAGTAAAACATCGAGATATAAGGTAGCGCCACAAGCTAGGTATATGGATCGTGCTAGGTGACGATATACACTCTGTAAAAAGATCTAAACTACTGTTGAACTCTTCACATAAAAGTAATTAACGCGCGATCCTCCAAAACAACCTCAACCCTTGACTGGATACTTGGAGCAACTACTGTGGATGCGGTCCTAAACCCCAGGCTTCCTTGCGGTTGAATAAATGTTATCTCTTGCGATGATAATCCCGCTTGAACTTCATGTGCTTTAAGAGAAATTTCCAAAGAGGAACCGATTTTGAATTCATGTCCCAAACCATGTGCAAGGTACCGCGATCAGATTGTCTATGAGGACAAGTAACGGGTTAAGAATAAAACTAGGATACGTGGAGACAACCGCTGGCCATCACCCACGACTAACTCTATCAGTCATGGGTTGCTAGCCGATGATATGTTCGTGAACGAAAGTCGACTGCGAATGATCGAGAATCGACCGGACAGTACAACTTGGTGTTGATACACAAATGAGCCTCATAAACTCCCGAACGATTACAATGACTCTCATCACTTTCCAGAATCCAGTAATATATAAGACAAGGACTTGGTCATAGGCTGCTGAAAATTCTAACAATACCGGCTCTTAGTCTTTCGAAAGTCCAACCCCAACAAAAAAAAAGGCTGAGGTGCATTTTGATAGAAAGTATCTCCAAAAGAGCTGTCCTGCATTCATGGACGGATAAGGTATGTTCTTGACCATCATCTGAGGCACTTGGGACTTTACCGTTTTCCACAGACGAGGGCAGATTTGAAACTAAGGGAAGAGTAAGAAGTACGAGCTGAGACATTTTTTTCAGGGTCATTATTTAGAACCGTTGGCGTGTACGAGGAAAGATTATCACTTTCATGTCCATTTTGGCCAGGAAAGACCTTGAACGCTTCACGAATTCGGTCATTTGATTCCAATCTTGAAACTCCACAGTCCTCTAATCGAGAGTCTACATGCAGCTTCTGCACTTATGTGCTTCACCCATGGCAACCTCGGAAAAGAACAGGGAGGGGGGGGGGAAAGACATAAGAAATGCACAGACTCCCCGCCACGTAGTTTAATTTTATTGGAAGCCTTCGCCTGACAATTCTGGATTAGCGGACGTACCAATGATCGAAGAAGGGTTCAGATCGTCTTCCTCGTCGGAATCCCAATACGCAGGAGATGTAGAGGGCGGAGATGGCTCCAGCTGTTCCCGAGACCTCCACTCGGCAACCGAATCAGACAAATGTAACTTGGCCGAGTGAGAGACATCGAATGGCACCGCACCCCCAGACTCACCCCGGGAATGGCACGCCATCTGCTACGTAACCTTCACCACTGGCCACGCGCCTTCGAAACCCTATGAATTTATTTTTTCTAAATAGAATGTAGATGTACACCCTGATCTCGAAAGCTAGAGTCCGACCCTCAATCGCAACAGACCTCACTCACCCCACATGTTCCATCCCGGCTAGCAAAAATTCCCAACAATTTCGAGCTCTACCATACCGTCGTCCCGGTACCACTTCCTTCCCGCCTTCGGTCTTTCGATCAACCCCAGACTCACTCGAGCAACCTGTGCGCTATCTCCTTCCTGGTGTTAGGGTTTCCGTCTCCGTTCCGCTCTTTCGAACGAAGCCCTTCTCGTCCTGGCCTCCTGCTGCCTTCGCCATCAGGTTTTCCCCTTCCGCTTTAGCCCCACAAAACACCCAAACTCCGCCCCTGCCCTGCCCTCGACTTCCCTGTCCGTCTCCGCTCCGAACTCCGCCTAGCCCGCCACCCTATTCGTTGCTTTCAACTTCCCGGCCTCCCTCTCTTCCTCTCTCCCTCTCTCTCTCGTCGTCTCGTCGTCAGGTCTCGTGTAGTCTCGTCTGGCCTCGAGCCTGAGCCTGAGCCTGACGCTCGCGCAGCCTCGGCCCCCAACCGAAACCACCAACAGAAACCAAAAAGCGCTGGCTCCCGCGCACCGGCGCGCTCCGAGTGTCAACCAAGGAAAGCGGAAAAGAAAAAGCACGAGGTGCCGAGCACCGGCCCTGTCAAAACAACCAATACCATCGACCGCATCGACCCGGACCAGCACCACCAGCTCTCGCAAAAGCCGCGGGCACAACCCTCAAGCACGCAATCAAGCAAGCACACTCTCTCTCTCCCTCCCTCCCTCCCTCTCTCTCTTCTCTCACACCCACACACACAGCGACAGACAGTCAGACATACAGACAGACAGACCGACGGCAGCCCCGGCACTGCACAGCTCTCGCTCGCTCTGCTGCGCTTCCAAACCGAAGCTCCTCCTCATTCACCAGCCAAACCCTTTCCCCTCTCTCTCTCTCCCTTCCTCCCTCTCCTGCAGGACGAAAGAACTTAGGCGGGATTTGGGCCGGTCCCCCGGGCTCTCCCTCTCTCGCTCTCACTTCGCTTCTCCCCTCGAATCGCACCACCACCTAACGAATATTTTCTTCCTCCGGTTCGGCATCCCCATTATTTTCCCTTTCTTCCTTTCTTTCTTTCTTGCTTCCTTCTTGCTTGCGCAGTGGGGCACAATTACGTGAATTTGTTAATATTTGGGCTCCCTTCCTGCGGAAGAGAGACTTTCGTCCCCGGTCGGAGCAGCCCCCTGGCCCCAGGCGGGGTCGTGGCACTTCTTGTTTGCTCCCGCGGAATGCACTTCTGCTGAGTGCTTGGCATAGATTACATTTTCTTGAATCGCTTGTCAGCTCCTGAAGCCCGGACTGGGTGTTGGAGCGTGTCATCGCTCCGCGTTTATTTTAATAGTTTTGAAAGAAGGAAAGCCATTCGGATATTGGAGACTGCGATGATTATTCCCCTGTATGATCCATCTTGTTCTGAGAGCAGGGTTCGGTCTATTTCGGTATGCTGGAGGAGCAGTGTTTCAGCTTTATCCCATAGACATTTTTTCTCGCCCCTCTCTCATTTTGTAGTACCAGTTCAGTTCGTTTGCCAGCATAATAATTAATGGGTGCCTGGATCTCCTCTACTTCTTCTTCTGAGTTCATTGCTTGGGATGTTTATATGGGAGTACACTTTTCATGTGTAGAGCCAAAGTGCACTTTGTTTGTTACATCTACTTGTGAAGTCTTTTGCTGAAGAAGAAGTATATATAAATTTGTTTGAATGCTCGATAACATAACGATAACAAACATAGCTGATAAGATTCTCACTATTTGCTCACTATTCTCACATATGATAAGAGTGTGCTATTTGCAATACCTTCCAGACAATTATCGTATCATTCGGAATAGGTATCTTCTTCACCATGTTACCGTTGCCTCTCTAGATAGATACATGTTGAGCACAAAATGAAGATATACTTAGTTCGTGTAAAAAATCTTTGACTCTAGAGAACTACAATTATAATCTATCCAATTTTGACATTAATGAAGTGAATTTGTGTTGTGATGGGTATTAAGTAGGAAGTAGATCAGTCAAGTTTAGCATGTTGTTTTTTGTCACATAGCTCAAAGATGAGAGATGATATGCAATGACAATGTGAAGAGCGAGTTCTTTACCTTTCGAATCTTGTGGACATGTTCATCAAGATTTGAAAGGTAAAGAACTTCATGTAAAATCTAACTCAACTCAAGTGCAAGTCAGATTCGCAAGTTCCATTGTTGAAAGACAGAGTAGTCTATCAAGTATAACTAACAAAAATTTGATGGGATTTAATGAATAATATAAATAGGTGATATATGGTATCGTTCTATTCCATTGATACCATAGATGACACTTCATACTAAATTTCTTTTAAAGTTTCTTATAACTATATATTGTGGGCTGAAGTGTCCAACAATTGTTATGTATAACATTGCTATGTCTTGATGGCGAGAGTTGGAAGCATGAGGAATGTGTTGCAACAAAGATGTCATTGTTTAGATGGTCTTTCAAGCGACGTGCAATCTTTTGAAACTCATAATCTATGCTACTTTTTTGGTTCAAAGTTTTTTTTGACATTTATCTTGAGAATAATGCTTGTATTATTGTCGGCAATTGTTGTACTGATGCATGTCACAATGCACATTTTTAAAAAATAATTCATTGGTTTTTGCAACGCTTGTAACAGAGATTTAACAACCACATCCTTTGTTGACTGCAACAAACAAAGGTTTTATGAATTGGTGTTCCAACCAAAATGCAATTTTATAAAAATTATGTAACTCTTTTTGATCTATATCAAGAACTAAGCATGCAATTTGATCTCATACAATATATGCAATGGCATCTTCAAGATTTGCGAGACTTAATATTGAAAATCAAAGTTCTTGTAAATATCAGTTAACAAATTTTATGTGATTTAGTGTTTCAATCAATGCGTCATTTTTTACATATTATGCTATTGTTGATAATGCAGGTCAAGAAGTTAGCATGTAGTTTAATCTCATACTATCGCAATATCCCGATGGCATTTCCAAGGTTTGCTAGACTTGATACATGAAATAAAAGCAATAGGTGGATCTGAAAATATGTTATGTGTCAAGAGTAAAACACATATTAATTGATGAAACTATTGAAGAGTTTTATAGGTGTTAAATTGTTGTGCATATTTACGTTTATCTCACCCCTATGTTGAAATCTAAACTTTAAAATAACTTCATGAATGCATTCAATCATCAATTTCAAATATAATCTTTGACTGTAATTTCATCATATTTGCATATCATCACTATATTAACCATCAAATGTTAATCGTGCAAAATTTGCATATATAACTTTTGACACAGTATATCATTTGCGCAACTAGTAACAACGTTGTGACTCATTTGTGCACATATCGTCTTAGAATTTTGCACATACTGTTTCAAATTTAGTGGATCTTGCAATATTTCTTTGCATTGCAGAAAAATGAATTGCAACAATTTACGGCTTCGTCTCAACTTCGCTCCATTCTTGTTCATTTCCCCACTTGCCTCAGTGACTTCACTCTAAACGTTGTTTTTTGTGTTAAAAATCAATGATCATCGATCATCCAATCTTATCTTTAAAAATAATTGTTGACTCTATCACTTTCATCAAATTGTGCATATCATCCATGACACTATAATCATAATAAAGTCAAATGTTATTACTATAATATCCGTCATAATTTTTTCTTGCATAACTTTCTATTATGACATTTGATTCACTATAGCATTTGTGCGACTAAAAACAATGCAGTGACATTCATTTATGCACATATCGTCTAGGATATTCAACAACTCTTGCAACCTTTCTTTGCATTAGACCAATATATTGCAACAATTTATGGCTTCATCTCAACCTCGCTCCACTCTTGTTCATTTTCTCGCTTGCCTCGGTGATTTCACTCTAAACGTTGCTCTCTATGTTAAAAATCAATGATGATCAATATTAAAACATGTTGGACGTATATCGTTGGTTTGATCTCATCAGTAAAACATGATGGATCTAAGTAAGCTAGTTGTGTTAAGTTGTGTGACTTCAAGAGCTCCAAACTACACTTGTTATAATCACAATTGCATGTCGAGATTCTAACATTCAAACATATTTCATCAACACCAAAACTTCTATCAACGTCAATCTATATCTTTCTTGTGATAATCAAGTCGCAATTAAGCACGATCACAATGCAATTTTTCATACTAACACAATGCACATAGAAGCTAAACATAATTTTACGTGAATGAGTTTTATAGAATATAATTTGACTTCATTCATTCATACTTATGACAAATCTATGACAAATATCCTAGCTCAAAAGAAATTTGACAAGTATTTATATTTGATTGATACCCATTCAATGGCAAAGTTACATCACATACAAGCATGTATTTTTAAGAAATTTTTGTGAGAAATATAAAATTAAGCAAGAAAAACTCTTTAGAGTTAAAGATTGGATTAATAACTTTAAGTATTGCAATGTATGACTCTACAACCACTTAAAAGTCAAAATTTGATACAATCGTGATACGCATTATCAATACGCTTATCTATATATAAAGATTGTTAACAAATTAATACATTTTTTAAAATTGATAACAGGTTCATAAATTATATTAATATATTTAAGATTAAATATACCTTACTGATTGAATCAAAGTTTGAACATTTGTAAATAACCAAATAAATATTATTTTTTCATGTGTTACTGCAATCATGCGTAAGAAATTTATAATATTTTGTACAAAATTTACTAAGTTTATATTTGCAATTCTACAAAACATGGTTGTATATTACACAATATTTTATTTCTTTCATATATATAAAATACTAGATGTAATATATGACATAAATATTTGTATAATTTAAAGATCCAAAATTCATCATTAAGAATCATTGATATTTAGTTGATCATACTATCCGACTTATTGAATATCAAAAATAATATATTGTAACATTGCATATATTCAACTTTCAAGAATAAATCAATGTGATGTTTTCAAAACTTCTAAATATCTTATTTATTATGACATCTTGCATCTTCATATATACATGTACATAGCTGCACAATGATTGATAAAAAAAATGAGTATGAAGCTATTATTACAAAAAAATTTATGATGCATGTTTGATTAAAAATATGTAGCTAAAAAATGGAGTAAATAAAATTTTAAACTATGTTTATTCTTCTCAATATGAAATATTGAAAGAACATAATATAAACACTTTTGAATTCAAGACACGTGTAAACGGTTATTCATATAATTTAAGTCTTTGTTAATTTTTTGTAAACAAGTTGTGATCTATTAAGCTCAAATACATGTATTGATTTGTACTATATAAAATAAAATGTGCCATAACATTAAAAGAGTTCAAAATTTCACAATGTGTTTACAACATTTTTTCTAAGATTGAGTTCATTGATTTTAAACCATCTAATATATTTACATTAAAAAAATGTATTTAAACAATTAATCTGATGTTGATCATGTTCTTCTTTGGGTGTTTGTTACTATGATATGTCAACAAATCAAAATAATACTGAATGTTATGTATTCATGGTGTTTTGCATAAATGATATTCATATAAAAAACTGTAATAAATACATATTGTAACTTTAATTTCAACAATACATTATAAATCTGACTTGCTATATTCTTAATCATTTTGCTTGCATGTATTAAATGTACATTAGAATATTTGTGTGATTAAAATTAAAATTTTTAAATAACTATAATAAT